ATAAAAAATTGAAAATGACAAATGTTAGTGAGGATGTGAGAAATTTGTGGGGGGAATATAAAATGGCAAGTCTCTATGGAAAACAGTTTAATAGTTACCCAGAAAGCCAAATATAGAATGACCACATGATCTAGCAATTTTATTCCTAGATATGAAATCTTTCCTCAGAGTTTTTTTTTATTATTAAGTCATAAATACATATATCATGTATACATTAATGCATTTATGGGGTAACATGGGCTGATTTTAAATACAATTTGGAATGCTTACATCAAAGTAGTTAATATAGCCTTCACCTCATTTACTTGATTATTGTGTTAAGACATTTATACTCTATGTTTAATAGATTTGACATGTACCATTGCAATATGCACCATAGATGTGGTCCCACCATTTACCCTCCCTTCATCAAACCTCCCCTCTCCCTCCCATCCCTCTCCTCTTCCCTCCTTCATCCTGTGATTTATCTTTCATATGAAAGGGTGATTATAAATTGGTTTCATAATAGTACTGAGTACACTGGACACTTTTTCTTCCATTCTTGAGATACTTTACTAAGTAGAATATGTTCCAGCTCCATCCCTGTAAACATAAAAGAGGTAAAGTCTCCATCTTTTTTAAGGCTGCATAATATTTCATGGTATACATATACCACAATTTATTAATCCATTCATGGGTTGATGGGCACTTGGGCTTCTTTCATGACTTGGCTATTATGAATTGAACTGCAATGAACAATCTAGTGCAAATATATTTGTTGTAAAGTGATTTTTGGTCTTTTGGATATACACCTAGTAGAGGAATTACAGGATTGAATGGCAGTTCTACTTTTAGATCCCTGAGTATTCTCCAAAGTTCTTTCCAAAAGGAACATATTAGCTTCCTCAAGAGTTTTTGCACTTCCTTTTCATCCTACCAGGAGTGCTATTCTGACATTTTTCCCATGAAAATTGTGTATGCTGTTGTTTTATTCATTCTTTCCATAGTTTTAGCATAAATGGTCTTCCCTTTCTCCTGCTGTTATTTTCTATCTCAGCACTTTGCATCCTTAATGACATTTGTTGAATTTGTAACTAGTTTATTTATCTGGTTAGCTGTTATTTGTCTGTCTCTTTAACTAGAATTTTCACTTTATGATGGCAGGACTTCATCCAAGAACCCATATAAGAATGTAGTATATGCCTGACACATACTAGACAATTTAATAAATAGTTGTAAAAAGAAAGAATATATAAGCAAAGGAATTTTGTTCTAAAATATAAAATGTGACATGTTGCCATATAAAATAGGTTAATGAAGATTTAATGTATTTTAAAATCAGTTTTGTCATAATCTCTATAATACTGTATTTCCCCGAAAATAAGACCTACCCCCAAAATAAGCCCTAGCAAGATTTCTATGCATGAAGCCCTACACAGATAATAAAACCTAGTGATGGGCGTGGCTATGCAGCATATCTGCCTAGACACACTATGCATTTTGGCATAGAGAGGAAGACATCCCCTGAAAATAAGCCCTAGTGTGTCTTCTTGAGAAAAAATAAATATAAGGCAGTGTCTTATTTTTGGGGAAACATGGTACTATACTTTTGTAATACTCCTTGAAAAAGAAGTATTAGTCAGTGGTTAGACATTTGTTTGATTTCTGCACTTACTAGTTGAAATCTCCATGAATTTTATTTTCTTCATTAGGAAATCTATGAATAATGCTGTCTACCTTGAGGATTTTTAAGAATTAAAGATAAAAGAAAAGTATCAAGTATTGTTCCTGCTACATGGTGGTAGCTGGTAAATACAAGGAATTAATATTTCTTCATTTCATTTGTAAGATCACAGATAGGAGGAATCAAAAACATTATCTATGCGAGTGTTGACTGTAGAAGTGAGAGTTTTTTTAAGATGTGAGAATTTTGAGATTTATAGACTGAGTAAAAACTACTTATTGATGAAATTATATGATATTTTGGATTTGTGTTTAGATTATTAGGGAAATTAGTAGTTCTGGGAAACAAATTTGGATATGAGTTGTGAACTGTCATTAAATTTGGGTAATGAGTACAGGAGAACTTCTTATATTAATCTCTGTACTTTTTGCAATATTTTAAATTTTTTATAATTAATAGTAAGGCAGGAAGAAAATGAGGAGTTTAAATGAAAGTTTGCATACAGGATGGGAAGAAAGTTCCTTTTGCAGCTTTGAAAAACCATTGACATTTGGGACTCTCCCTTACATGTTACCTTCTACTACAAAGGATGAATTGTAATTCCATCATGGCATAGTGAAGTCTAATATTTTCAAGTCACATCTACCCATGTGTGAAATATTCAATCAGCTTTTCTTGTAACCTATCCTTAAATATGACTGAGGAACAAAAGACCATCAGACATTTGAAGAAATCTTTCAAGGTGAAGTACAATGACAAGCAAACAATTCAACACCATTGCCATTCCAAGGAAACAGAAAATAGAGAGAATAAATTATAATTAATTAAGAATTATAATTAATATCCAGAAAGATGGAAGATAACACAGGTATGAATAAAAAAATTTAGAGAATATTGAAGAGTATTTGAAAAATAAAAAATAGGTAGAAGTTAAAATAGGTAGAAGTTAATACAGTGGATAACATTTATGGACTTGCGTATTTTAAACCAGCCTTGCATCCCTGGGATGAAACCTACTTGATCATGATGTATGAATTTCGTACTCCTAGCTCTCATTCTATTTTAACTTCTACCTATTTCAAGTGAAAAGGTGAAAGTTCTCAATTTAATGAGGAAAGAAAAAAAATTATTGTGAAATTTTCCTAAATTCCCCCTACTTCTATTTACTAAGTAGGGGGAATTGCTAAGATTGCTAAGATCTACAGTAAGAATATATCTTCTATCCATGAAACTATGAATAGTATATTGTTATAGTTGTCATATTATATTATTATTATCAATCTTTTACTGTGCATAATTTATACATTAAATTTTGTCATGTGCATATATGTACATTGGGTTGGGTGCTATCCTCAGTTTAAGGCACTCACTGGGGGTCTTGAAACATATCCCCCATGGATAAAGAGGGCTACTGCATAAGGAGAAGAAGGATTCAACTTATTGCTATAGTTCCAGAAAATACGTTAGCATTTGAAGTTATATTCTCCATCTTTACATATTTGATACATATTTCATGGGTTTGTATAGACACAGGATTATGTTTCATTTCTTCTAAACTTACTACAAGTTCATAGATAAAAATAATTCTATATGCCATAGCTGAAGTGCATGTTTTCTACTAGTCAACAAAAAACGGCTTGAAATTGCTTGTTTGAGACAAGATAACATTCACCTTTGCATAACTTTTAAGAATCTAACTTGTTATTAAGAAGAGGTATTTTTGTATTTGTTCCTCCTAAAGTAATTTTTTAAATTATTATTTTTTAAGTACATAGGATTTAAATATTTTACTATAATTAGAAATGGCTAATATGCTTATTTGGAGCCCTATTTTTTCTAATGGGGACATATCTTCAAGTTTATGATATATTCAGTGAAAATGTAGGTTTTAATTCATGCATCCATCCGTTCTTCTAGCAAATATTAATTGAACACCTACAAGCTTCAGGCACCCTTTCTATACTCTGGAGATACAACAGTGAACAACAACAACAAAAAAATCCTGCGCTCTTAGAGCTTAAAATGTAGAAGAAAATTATATTTTGGATAGCATGGAAAATAATTTTAGATTGACTGACTTGGAAATGACACATGGAGAGGTGACATTGGATAATAACCTGATTGAAATAGAGTAAGCCAGGGTGAACATTCTAAGCAAAGAGATTGCCAAGTGCCAGTGTTTTGAAGTAGATATTTACCTGACATTTGAGGAAGAGATGGAGTAGAGTGAATGAAGGGATAGCATAGTAGGAGCTGAGGTTAGAGTGGTAATACTGTGTCCAGGAGTGGAATTCAGGATTTGGTTTTTGCTCTAAGTAAGACTGGAAACCACTGGATGGGTTTGAGAAGGAGAGTGATGCAATCTGACTCAAATTCTGGACCAGAGCCAGCCAACTCTAGCTGCTATGTTGATAGGTTGATGATAGGCAAGGGTAGAAGTAGGGAGAATTTAGGAAAATTGCACAATAATTCAGGTAAGAGACAGTGGTGGCTTGGATCAGAGTCAAAGTTGTGGGAGCAGAGGGAAGTGATTGGATTTATACATATTAAAAGAAGGACTGAAAGGATATACTGGTAGAACTTCATTATATATCCAACTTATAAGGTAAGTAATTAATAAATCAAAGAGTAATTCTTTAAACTGTAGAAAAATAGTTGAAGTGTATATGGACCAGAAGATTTGAATTTATTATTTTTAACTATGGAAGGTACTTTATCAAGGAAATTAAAATATTTGATGATGAATAAGTAGAAGTTTTGATATATATTTGATGTATATTACTAAAATAATAAAGAACTCAATCTCAGGATTTACTGAATTAATTCTTATCTATTGTAAAGTATCTATTTAAAAGCTAATTGTATCAAGTCTACAATTCTAACATTTGTAGTTGAAACATTTCCTAAAGCTACTGTTGGAAAAGGCAGAAGGCTATTGGTTAAAAGAAATTTGAAAATACATTAAAATATAATTTTTGGAAAAAAGCTAGTTGTATATTTTTAAGTGGATGAATTTTAGAACTCATTTTTATTTCTTCATTTTAATTTTTATTCATGTGGAGAGCCAGATTATTTTTTCTGACCTTTATCAGTAGAGGGCAGCAAAGTTTCAGATAGAGTATATTTTGCAGTTCAGAAAAACATTGCTAAGGAAAATTTTCTTTTTTGTTGCTCTTAAGAACTTTATTCTAGCTTGCCTTTTAATGAAGAATTTTGATAATATATAGGAATTTGTTTAAAAGCTGTGTAGCTTTGGTTCCAACGTTTAGCCAACTCTACCTGTATGTGCTATAGATCCTTTTTTTAATGAGAACATGTATTTCTTTCTGTAATTTAGGGAGTACCAGGGCCTGGAAAATATGACATTAAAAGCCAATTTCAAGAGAAAAAATGTATGACACGAATTGTAAATGATCCACCTTCTGCTTTTCTTTCTCAATCCCAGGTAATGGTCTACAGTATTTTTAGGTATAGAGTCTAGTAGGTGTTGTATAAGGCCAGCAATGAATCTGATGGTGTTTATAGAGATTATGGAAGGAAAAGTGGCATTTAAGCAAATTGTAAACAGACATGTGGCCTGCAAAAAACATATTTCTAAAACATGTGAGTAAAATGAAGTGAAATAAGAGTAAAATATTAACAATAATAGATGAATATTTGAATAGGAATGATCTATTAAACATTTTCTATTAAGTAAATTTGCATATGTGAATGTTCAATTCAGTTTATTAGTCTGTTTTAAAATATAACATAGTTCTGCTCATATTCTCTGATGTTTGTCAAAAAAGAATAAATGATGAATGAATTAAATAAAACAATATATTTGTTAATGAATGTATGGGCTGTTAATGTGTAACTTATGAGGGCATGCATATCTTTCCAAAAAGGGTCTGAAGGTGTTCATTGGAGCCTGGCCATAGGTCATATCTATTACTTCCAATGAGACCTTCTCTAGTGATACAGCAGTCATAGAATATATTTCACAATATACATTTCACATTCTTCAAGGAATGTACTAAGGGGACTTGAAGGTAACTAAGATTATTTCTAAGGAAAGGTGATTATAGTACTATCAAACTTTTATAATGTGTAGTCTCCAGACCAAAGTAGTTGTAATATTTATTCACCTAGGTTATATACAGCTCTGATTATCTTATTTAACTTGGGAATATTATTAACCTTCAGGTGACTACAGATGACTACATTGCTTTGATTGTACTTAAGAGACACCTCCTTGGAGACAATTGCAGATGTATTTTGGAGGGATAATTAACGTGACTTTTTAATGGGTTAGATGTAGTGAGGGACTGAGAAGAATCAGGAATGAATATCATGTTTCTGTCTTTAGCAACTTAATGGTACTTAAGGTGCTATATCAGAGAGACGTGTGGAAGACAGCATATTTTGTGTATTTGTGTGTGTACGTGTGCCCTTAATTTTTTAAAATATAATTTTTACAACTAGAACTCTGTTTTTATCCTATTTATGTTTATTTCATATATAGCCATAACTTTATATCACTTGGCACTAATCATATTTTAACTATATTTCAAGGAAAAAAAAGAATATGCTATTAATTTTGTTTAAAGGGATGATGGAGAAAAAAATAATCGTTCTAGGGTAAAAGATATGGAGGAGTTACAACCCAAAAGGATGCCCTATGGGGTAGTAATAGTGTTTTGTTTTTTATGAACAGATATACTAATGATTATGAGAGAAAATCACAGATAATATAATTAACAACATGTACTTAGCACACAGAATTTCGGGCTCATGAGAATAAAGAAAGATATTTTTGAAACTCTGTTATTTTTTGAGACAGAGCCTCAAGCTGTTGCCCTGGGTAGAGTGCCATGGCATCACAGCTCACAGCAAACCTCCAACTCCTGGGCTTAAGTAATTCTCTTGCCTCAGCCTCCCAAGTAGTGGGACTACAGGTACCCACCATAGCACCCAGCTGTTTTTTGGTTGTAGTTGTCATTGTTTTTTGGCAAGCCTGGGCTGGATTCAAACCTGCCAGCTTTGGTGTATGTGGCTGGTGTCTTAGCTCAGGCGCTGAGCCTTGGGACACTTATTTTAGCAGCTTGGTATTTTATCTGAATGCATTGAATTGCCTTATATCTTCAATTATTAATTTTAGAAACATAATTTTTTTAATGACAATGATTCTCAACCTGGATATATATTAGAAGCTTGGGAGATTTTAATAGATTTTTATACTTTAGTGTTAATCAGACCTTATACACTTCTTCCCAAAGATTGGTCCAGAATAGGGTCCAGGCACCAGTATTTTTTTAACTCTTCAAATGATTCTAATATGCAGCCTCTATAGAGAATTATCATTTTATAACCACTGTACCTAGAATCCAAATAAGACAGTATTTAGAAAAAATATTTGAGAATCCTTTTTGGTACTTCCAGTAACAAATTATAAACTGCATATAGGATGCACGATTTTTTGTGGAAAAAAAGAAGGGAAAATGTGAAAATGTATACATAACTGCTTGTCTTTATAAAATACAGCAAGGACAAACCAGAGAACAATGACATTGGTTACCTGTAAGAAATGGTGAGGAGATGGAATGGAAGCACTGAAATGCTGCAGCTTGTATAGTCTTACATTAGCCAGTTGTTAATTTTAGAAAAGTTTTGAAAGTTGATCGATGTCATGTTTGTAGGGTGAAATTAGCCATTGCTGTGGGTGTATTTGCATCATGGAAAACGTTGAATATTACAAATTATCCTCTTTTTTTATAATTACATTATTTATCCTCTCAGTGGTGCAGCATCGGCTGAGTTGAAAGGGAAATGGAGAGAGTAACATTTTTTTTTAACTATACTTTTTAAAGTATATATTTTGTCTTTTGGCAGCATGTCAATGTTTCATGTATTCAAAAGTAAAGTAAATCAGTAAGCATTGGAGGTCAAGCATGGTGGCTGGCTCACGCCTGTAATCCTCCAACTCTGGGAAATCAAGGCAGGTGGATTGCTTAAGGTCAGGAGTTTGAGACCAGCCTCAGCAAAGTGAGACCTATAGAAAAACTATCCTGGCATTGTGGTGGGCACCTGTAGTCTCAGCTACTTGGGAGGCTGAGGCAAGAGGATTAGCTTGAGCCCAAGAGTTTGAGCTTGCTGTGAGCTATGACTCTCACAGGGTGACAGAGTGAGATTATGTCACATGAAAAAAACGTAAGCCTGAGAAAGATTAAGAAAACTGCTAAAATTGAAAGCAAATGGGCACAAATGAGTAATTATATTTCAAATGAATGCCCTTAACCACATTGAAGGGAAGAAAGGAAGGAATGATCTGGTAACCATAATACAGTAGAACTTTCATAGTCGACTACCTCCCTACATTGACCATCTCCTTAAGTTGACCTAATATTCATAGACTGGACATGGACCACACACACTTCTCAACAGAAGACCAACCTTTATATATTGGCCACCTCTGCAAGTTGTATCTTAATTACTTGGGCTGTGACAAACAATTTACCCTCTATAACTTGACCAGTTGCAGCCACTCTACACCAAGGGGTAGAAGGTCTGGGATTTGTGCCTTATTTTTGTTATCTTTTCTTTAGTATAAGTTCTTTTTTCAAGTTTTAATACCACGTTTGATTAGCCTTAACTTCCTATTCTTTATTATGTGTTGTGGAAGATTTTTTCAACGTGAAGAACTGGTCTGAATTGTAGGTATACCTTACAATCACTGAAAATTTTATAGTTAATTGAGATATGATGGTCCAAAGGAAAGAACTGAAATAAATGACATTGAAGGGAAAGGTTGATCTTCTATGTTTTCTGGAAGGCAACAGCTAAAGAAAGATGGTAAAACATTTTGGTCTAAGCAAAACCACAGTTAGCAACATTTAAAAATGTAAACTTGAGTACTTGGGGATATATGGTAAGGAAAGTGAAGACCTATTGAAGAAAAGGAGGAAAACTTCCTTCAATAAAGTCAATGAAGCCACATTAAACTGGTTCAAACAAATGAGAGCAATTAACACCTGACTTTCTGGCCCAGTGATCCAAGAAGTTGATAAAAATTGGCACAGCAATTTGGGGTGGCAGATTTCCAAGCATCAAGTGGTTGGCTCAAGAAATTTAAACCATGACCCAAGATCTTCCAGAGTGTCTTGTGTGGTGAATCCAATGAAGTTCTAGTAGAAATTGTAGAGGAATTCATCAAAAAGTTCACAGACTTCACCAGAGGCTTCAAAGATGATGATATCTTTTACGCTGACCAGAACAGACTCCTTTTCAAGGCTGTGCCTGTTAGGAGTCTTGTCATGAAGGGTGACAAATGTAGGAACAGAAAACTTTTCAAAGAATGTTTTGCAGTTCTGCTTTGTGTTAGCTCACCTGCAGTGAAACTAAAGCCCTTAGTGATTGGTAAATTATCAAAGCCATGCACACTCAAGAACCTGAAGCCCAAAGACCTCCTATCACTTGGAGATAAAACAAGTGCTCAGGGATGACTGGTGCCCTATTTGAGGAGTGGGTAAGTGGTATTAACAGATAAATGAAGATGAAATGTTCTAGTCTACTGAAAATAGACAACTGTCCTGGCCATCCACAAATGAATGTCATCTTGCAAACATGACATGGAAATTTCTGCCTTCAAAAGTGACCCCAAACCCTTGATCAAGGCATCATCAAAACATTTAAAATGCCCTAAGCCCAGCTCCTGCAGTGGGTCATTACTATAGCATAAACCTGTGGTCTGCCTGTGGAAGCAACTTCATCCGCACCACCAGTTAACTCTCTGGATGTTATCCTCTGAAACAGTTCTGCCTGGAATAAAGTTCAGCTGGACATGATTCAGAAATGTTCCAAGAAAGTTGGATTTGTCACAGTGTCCAAGAGCACAATGTTTTCAGCCCATCAGGCAATCCATCTCCCATGGCACAATTTGAAGGAGTAGATTTTGAAGGTTTTGTTTCAGTGGATGATGAGGTGGCAACCTGTAATGAACCTGACTTAGAAGCAATTTTCCAATCAATATTGATTGAAATACGGACCAATGTAAAAGTTCATGAAGCAGCTGATTAAGTGGAAGAAGCAAGTGAGAATGACATGGAAATTGCAGAGACTCCAAAAGAAGAGGATACCGGGCATTTGATAATGCAGTTAAAGTCAGGTGCTGTGGAAAAATGCCTATGTATGCTGAGGGGTATAGCCAGCATTGAGAGTGCTTTCTTCACTTACATTTATGATCAGAATAAGAACAGACCAAGGATGACTCGTTTTTAGAAAGAATTATTAAACCATGAGAAAACAGTAAATGTATTAATTTTGTATGGTACTGTATATTTGATTTTGTTTTGATTATGATTTCATATGATTTTCTCTAATAAAAGTTGTTCAAGAAAGTAAAGCACATGTATGTATCAGTACAGTAGGCTTAATTCCTTATGTTGACCACCTCTGTATGTTGACCAGTTTGCTATAGTTTGTTGGGTAGTCAACTTACAAAGATTGTATTATATTTAACTATATCAGTCCTTGGTTGGGATTGGGGATGGGTGGGTAGTTAATATAAGAATGGAAAACAAATTTTGAATTATTTTTAGGAGGTTGGTTATTGGAGTAGTATATGTAAAATAATCATAAAGCTATTTTCTTTATATATCTGAGTAAAAAATTTTGTAGTATGAGCCACATATTCATGGTAGAGGAAGGTACATACAAATATGAAATGGAGGAGGTGAGAGAGGACTTCATGGGGTGGATTTGAATTGAAGAGTTTATTTTTTTTATTTTTTTAAGACAGAGTCTCACTCTGTCACCCTGCATAGAGTGCCATGGCATCAAGCTCACAACAACCTCAAATTCTTGGGCTGAAGCAATCCTCTTGCCTCAGCCTCCTGAGTAGTTGGAACTACAAGGGCCCACCACAAAACCCCACTAGTTCGTCTATTTTTAGTAGAGACAGTGCCTTGCTCTTGCTCAGGCTTGGTCTTGAACTCCTGAGCATAGGGATTTTTAATATACATATATGTATGTATGTATATGTACTTGGATGTGTGTACTTTCTCTCTCTCGCTCCACACACACACACACACACACACACACACATTTTCTAGCTCTGTCTGCTATATGAGCCAAGAAATAAATATATCCTACTAGCAAGAAACACATCTAGTTTCCAGATCTTGGTCTCTAATTCCATTCCCTACTAAATAGAAGAAAATCTCTCAGAGAAATAACTGAGTCCAGGATAGGTAGAATAGGAATCTGTAGCATTTTAAGTCAGAAAGTATGTTCTAAAAAAAATGACAGTATATCAAAGGGACATAGGAGTCAATGTGAAGTGTTCTCCCACACTTATAGAAATTTCAGTAATGAATTATAAATTATTAAAACTGACATTCATAAGTCCATATTGATAATAAATATATAACTTAATAATATATATAAGGACAATTATCCCTTGAACAATGTTGGGATTGGGGTACTGACCCCCATGCATTTGAAAATCCTTGTATACCTTTTGACTCCCCCCAAACTTAACTGCTAATATGCTACTGCTGACTGGAAGCCTTACTGATAACGTATGTGGATTAACACATACATTATATGTGTTATATACTGTATTTGTATAATAAAGTAGCTAGAGAAAAGAATGTTATTAAGAAATTCATAAAATGAGAAAATTTATTTACTGCTCATTAAGTGTAAGTAGATTATCATAAAGGTCTTCAACCTTGCCCTCTTCACATTGAGTAGGTTCTGGGGGTGGAGAAGAAGGGTGGGTCTTGCTGTTTCAGGAGACAGAGGTGGAAGAAATTCTGAATATAAATGGACTTACACAGTTCCAATCTGGGTTGTTCAAAGATCAATTATACATAGGCAGAGAGATAATGAAATAAATAATTTAATAAAGGAGAGCTCTTGCTTACAGTAGAATGCTGAGTGTTTAATATAGAGGGAGTGTTGGATCTGATCAAAATTAAAATGATCAGTGAGGGACAGAGGATGCCATGTGCTATTTCTGATATGATACCTGGAGAAGGCCACTACATTACCCATTTAGTATTCTGTCCAGAAATGTATAACCTGGATATAATCATGAAGAAGCATCAGATAAACCTCGAATAATGAAGGTTCTATTATACACAAGGGGAAAGTGATATCCTAAAATGTTGCAGTCACAAATACAAAGGAAGGCTGTGAAAGTGTTCTTACATTAATGGAGACTAAAGAGACATGGTAACTGAAAGTCATATTTGACCCTGATCTACATATTATACTGAAGGTGATAAGTGTAATAGAGGCTTTATTAGATAAACTGACAAATTTGGAATATGAATTGTAGATTTAAGTATTATATCATCGATACATTTACTGAAGTTGATAACTGTACTGAGAATATGTTAGAAAATACCCTTTTCTTTTGTAAATCCATATTGAAGTATTTAGGGGTAAGGAGCCATGAAATATATAATTTTTCATTAAGTGGTTGTGTGTGTGTCTGTAGAATAAGAGACAAAGAAAGGGAAAGACAGACTGGCAGAAAGAGACAAAGAGAATTGTAAGACAAAAAGTGCACAAATAATATAAAATGCTAACAACGGGCAAATCTAGGTAGAGATAATACAAGTATTTTCTGTATCATTTTTATTCATGCTACTTTTCTATAAATTTGAAATTATTTTCAAGGAAAAGTTAAAAAGTGAGATTATAAATGCTACATTTCATGAGAGTTTGTAGTTATACAAATAGATACATATATATTGTTAAGCTTATAAATTAAAATGAATTTATAAACTACTTGAATCTAAGTTTTATTTTTTATAAGATATTTAATAATATTGTTGAGTTAACTGAATATACATTTTGAGGAAGTTGGTCCATTAATGCATTTTGCTTGCATAAAATAAATTATTTAGATCATATAGTTATTGAAATTATTTACTTATCTTAACTTACAGAATATCTTGTGTGAAAATTCTCCTTCTACTGTAATCTGTCATCTACAATCTCATGCTGAGATTCTTTCCTTCTAAAAGTCTGTCTGCCTTAGCAAGGCACATAATACATTACTATATTGGTATATAGATGATTTTGCTAAAAGCTACATATATTATCTTTTGATGGCCATAAGATCTTAATTCATCTACATTTTCTTCACTCCATTAAGACATAAATTAAACTCCAGATATTATATTACTTAGAAGACAGCTTTTAACTCATGAAATATCAAAATGTACTCTAGTTTCTCACTGGCATATTTTCCTGTTCTTCACTAGAGATTCTTACCTATAAAATCAATCACCCCAGCTCCGGGCACATATAATGAACCTCGAACTGCGCCCATGTCCTTGAAGACAACATTAAGACAGAAAAATATCCCATTTGGTCAAAGTACTGCTCGATTCACAGAGGACTACAGGACAGCAAAAATGCCAGGTTAGCAGTTAATCTGTGTATTTCTACTCTTTGGCTTTATGTAACTTAATGTTCTTAACAAGGTGGATACACTGATTAGTACGTTTTATTTTTTTTCTCCCATGGTTTGTGGTATAATTTTAACTCAACATTTTTTTTAAGGTATCAGCTATGCATCAAACACAGATCAAAATAATATACAGTTTTAGTATGTTTTCAATTTAACGTGATCTTCATCTTAATTATAATTTTCTATTGTTTTTCTTTATTTAGTAAATGTCCTACTAATTTTTTCTTGGCAGATGAACATATGTAATATATCAACTGTGTGGTCACTACTGGTAATATATTTATGATGTTCACTTTTAATTTCATGGATGTTTAGTCATATATTCTTGTATTCTCATTGGGTATTCTAGCATACAGTACTAAGAATATAGAATCAAAATAATGCATAAAATTTTTAATATATAGTTTTGATTGTCTATTACTGTGTAATACACTTAATACACTTAGTAGCTTAAAACAACAGACTTTTTTTTTTTTTTTTTTTGAGACGGAGCCTCAAGCTGTCCCCCTGGGTAGAGTGCCATGGCATCACGCTCACAGCAACCTCCACCTCCTGGGTTCAAGCGAGTCTCCTGCCTCAGCCTCCCAAGTAGCTGGGACTACAGGCGCCTGCCACAGTGCCTGGCCATTTTTTGGTTGCAGCCATCATTGTTGTTTGGCCGGCCCGGGCTGGGGATTTGAACCTGCCACCTTAGGTGTATGTGGCTGGCGCCTTAGCCGCTTGAGCCACAGGTGCCGAGCCAAAACAACAGACTTTTTTAACTCATTATTTTGTGGGTCTAGAAGAGAATGTCATTAAACATGTGTACACAGCTCCAGCATGTCTGCATCAGGGTAGTCTGACATACATGGTTTCATAAGACCTGGTCAGATGCTGTAAGACTTTCCTGACCTAATCACAGAACTCTCAGGACATCACTTCTGCATTCTTTTAGTCATTCAAGTCACTCAGGGTAGCAAACACTGAAGGAAGGGACATCCAAGTTTATCCTTCAGTGACAGAGGTACCAAAGAAATGATGGCCATCTTTCATCTATTTTATTACCTACTCTTTGGCCATTCTTCCTACATGCACCCATTCCTTCTCCGGGACTCTAAAGTTTCAAGCACTTATGGCATAATCTCAAAGTCCTGGATCTCATCACCTAACTCAGGTACAGGTACAGCTGAGTATTCTTGGATGTGATTCATAAGATGCCGATTATACCCCACTGGAAGAACTTTGATTCACAGAGAGAGCTGGTTTCTCTAATATACAATGGTGGAAGAGAGACAGGATAATTGCTCTAGACACTCCTCTTCAAAAACGAGTGAAATTTGAGGCCCAGAGTAGTCACAGTACCATAGCAATTCTGAAATGCAGCCAGGCACACATTGCCATTTTCTTGATTAGGGTCCAGTTAGGCTTTCTGGGAATGATTTTCTGCATTTTTAAATTCTACCTTTTGGAGTCTTGGTTGTTCTATACTCTGAGCTGTCCTTCTTTTTCTATTTGAAATATGCTGTCTTTGCAGCTGGAGCTTGCTTAACCTGCTTCCTGCCCATAGATGTTTGGGTGTCCATAAACTACTTTTCATTTTGTACTGTCACTGTTCGATAGTACAAAATCCCAAGTTTGTACAATTAATATAAAGACTTTGTGAGTTTCTGATCATATTATTTTGTAATTAAATCCACTAGATAAAAGCCACATCAGATTTACTTTTTAGAAAAACTGATGGTCTGTTCTCAATTCTTGGAATATTCTTGCCAAAGAATACAAGACAAATTGATAGCGAAGCAAGCAAGTGGCAAAGTTTACTGGACAAAAACAAGATACATTAGCCACAGACAGGAAATGGACCGCTGTTATTACAGGAGCCCCCAACTGTTCACTGAAGCTTCATTTTATTTTTTTTGGGTTGAACTCTCCCAAGCAAGCATGGTCATGTGTCACCTTGATAACTTAAGTCTAATTGTACAAGCAGATTTCCTGTGAGCCTCTCTGAAAGCCCACTGGGGGAGGGGGAAATGCAGTATAGATTTTTGCTAATGACATGATAATTGGCCCAGGTCACTTTTAGTTATCTTCCTACTGCACCCTCCTTGCTTGAAAACGGAACACTTTAACTTATTTCTTTCTATCCATATCCTGTCACATATGGTTAAAAAGAACTCGTTGGCCCTTTGAAATTCAGTCCAGAAATTACCTTAGAATCTACTAGTTGATTAGGTATTCTCTTCATTACTCAAGTATCAGTTTTGCTAAAATTTCTGCCATTGCATAATACAATCCATTTTTTCTTCAGCCTCTAATAACACTTTCCTCACTGTCGTTCAAGTTATCACAAAGTCTCCTCAGGTCCTTTTGAAGCCTTTAGGCTACTAAACTCAGATTTTAGAGTTTTGTTATGATAATACTCTACTCTGGTACAGCTGCTTACTACTCATTTCATAGAGAGGTTGAGTCTCACTCTTCCCCTTCAATCTTTACTAGCCTTGGCGGCTTTCTTGACCAATGCATGCAATGGAAATTGTTAGGGTAGGAATCTCAGTAGTTGCTACATGTGGGATGAGAAAAGAATTTTTCTAGCAAAGATTAAGATATAAAAATTTAGACTTTATTTTATATCTCAGGAGAGAGGTAGTGCTGGAACTTTAAATAGCAGATTCTCAGGTAGTCAGACAAAGAATTGATGGATGCACAATTAACGAACGTAGAGCCACCAAAACAGACTAGGATGGGCAACTGTCCCTTGTGAAAAGAGAGCCAGAAAAAAGAAACCCTGCTTGCCACCCTCACCGGCCATCCGTCCATGTTCCTTCTAGGAAGGTACTTCAGGCTATACCTGGTGAGAGGCTTTCGGTTGACACACCCCTTCTGAGTGGACAGAACTATCAGGATGAAGTAAAGAGTACACACCATGTTAGCATATTCATAGTTTGTTTTGTTTTATGATCTAGAAATAGACATAAAAAGTCTTCACTTTCTACAAAATAAGACAAAGCTTAACTGTATATGGGTGGCTGAAACGCCTCACCAATCCTTACTCAAAATTTTACTTCTTATATACCCCAAAGTTACCTTTTTCTAATGTGGCATTTTTCTTAATTTGTAATGTTCAAAGTAATAATCACATTAACTGTTAGTATAATTTAGTGACTTATTATAACATTTCACTTCAAAAGTTAATCTCTTAAATCAATTCACCTAAACTACTCAAGATAGAGATCTTTAGGGTGGGAACTAAATTTATGAAACAGTAAGAATGAGAGACAGTAAAGGTCAGGCAACACCTAAACCAACCAGACCAGCTGTGTCAAATGGGAGATGGGGGTGAA